GCACCAGGAACACTGCAGTTTCACAGGCTGATGATACCCAGGGACAGCAACACCTAWCCCAGGGCTGTTTTAGATCACCATCACCAGGACTGGATAAACAAAGCAAAAAATGAAGACTGAGACTGATGTTTAGTTAATAACCACACCCAGAGCTTAAAATGAGGGTTTGAAAACAAGCCATAAATGAGTTCTGGAAGATTTTAATACCTTGCCTCCACCCACCTCTCTCACCCCCCTCACTTTCCTCATAACCATGAGCCCTTTCCATCCCAGAGGGCAGCCCTGGGAGARCCATGCAGGAGTCTATTCATTTATTTTCTCATTAAACCACACCACAACATTTGGCTTTGCTGTGTCCCAGGATGGAGCAGTAACTGCTCCACAAACATTTCAATGCAAAATAAAGTGGCACACAAGTGTATTACAGCACTGAGCAATTAGAAGGACTGCTTGTTTAACCCAAAAGCTCTATGGAAAACACAAACTCATTCTGAAATGCCATCAAGTGTAAAAATTGATTTGTGACTGGTTTTGCAGCAATTCCTCCGAGGCCACAGCATTTCTGTTGCTACAGGGATACTCACCAGTGAGCAAAGCACAAGCTGGCTCCAAGGGGCACCCAGGAATCAGCACTGATGCTCTGGGCCTCTCTTTCCAGGCAATGAACARCCCAGAAGTCCTGGCCTTGCCCCTGTCCTAGGTGGGGGTGTATTCCCTGAGGCACTCCCAGCACCTGGCACTGTCCCCAAAGACACTGTCCCCAAGGGCCACCACAGGCTGCTCACAGCTGCTCCAGCCCAGCCAGAGCAGGAGCTCCCCGGACAGTGCAGCTGACAGCTCTTCACAGCATCCCTGTGCACCTCTCCAGCCAGAACAGACAGAGCCTGGAGACAAACCCAAACCCACCTGAGCTCTGGCCAAGCCCCAGGGCCCTCAGCTCATTTATTCACAGGCAGAGAGCAGAGCTGCCATCACTGCACATCCACAGCTCCACTCAAGCTCAAACACGTTGACCTGGGGCTCCTGGAAGTCACCACACATAGTCTGCTCTTCCTCCTCAGCTCTGCTTTGGTTTTCCAAGAAACTGTTCAATTTTGCAGCTGGACATGGCATCTAGGCTCTCATTCATGTTTGCTGTGACACTACAGTTGGACTCAAGAACTTCTGCTAAGGACAATGCCCTCTAGGGCTAAAGGAGCTCATCTGCCTGGATGCTAACTCCAACAAACCAAAATATAATCCATTTGTTTAAAAAACTTGTGACAGGTGATTATCAGGCTCCCTTTCAGAATTAATAATGCAGCAAAAAAACCCCAGGTCTTAAATCCCATGTGGAAAAAGCAAAGCCAGAATGCACTCACTGAGGAAGGGCTGCACACAGAGTCCACCCTTCCTGCCTGCTGGATCCCTTTTCCTGGATCCCCACTCCATGGAAAACAACACCATTTTGGACAAACTTTGTCTTTACACTCAASCTGAATACTTGATATTCTTTTCCCWTCATACTTCAGTGCACATTCCMAGTTTCACCAGCTTGGGAAGAAAACAAAACAGTGGCTTGGGGACAATAAATCACCAGAACAGGTCAGAGCATCTGTTTATGTAAATCAGGATCAGCTTCACATCATCTGAAGGGCAGGGGCAGGAGGGACAGGRCTGAGAGCARAGGGCAGTTTACCTTTGTGAGGCTGAGCTGCAAAAGCTACAGGAGCAAACTCATCCACGAGGTCAGCAGCAGGGTTAGAGAGCAGAGAACAGTCAAGTAGAGAGTCTTCCCCAGTGAGAGAGTCTGGATCCAGGAGAGCATCCCAGGGTGGCATTGAAYAGGACACAAACAGCATTAAGCTCATATTCCACACTCCCACTCACCCACACTCAGAGTGCAAGAGTACAGACAACTTTGATGCAAAAGCTGCCATTTCTGGTGATGGAAAACATTCCACTGCTCTCAGTGAGGGCAGAGAGTCCCAACATCTCCAGCAGGGTGTCCTGCTCTCTGAGGCTGAACAGTCAAAGAAATCCCACAGAGACAGGTTAAAGTGGGGGCTCTGCAAAGAGGGAAGAGCCCCAAATGCAAGGCACTCCCACCAGAGACCTCTGGCAAGAGCTGAAGTTCATCTGCTGTGGCAAGTGGCCCAATCAAGGCTGCACAGCGAAAGGGCCAGCTGCCTCTTCGTGCCCTCATGGGACAAAAATCAGTGACTGCTCCAGAACTGTAAAGAGCTTCATGGGAGCAACGCAGCAGCACCTACAGGTCTGTGATGGTGGGCTCAAGGAATATTGTACCTCAGAATCACAGAATGTCCTGAGTGGGAAGGGACCCACAAGGATCAGAGTCCAGCTCCCAGCCCTGCACAGACACCCCAACACTCCCCCTGTGCATCCCTGGCAGCACTGTCCAAAGACTCCTGGAGCTCTGGCAGCCTTGGGGCTGTGCCATTCCCTGGAGAACCTGTTCTGAGCCCACCACCCTCTGGGGGAAGAACCATTTCCATTCCTCACAACGAGATGAGAAACCACACAGCATTCCCTCCACAAGGCCCACAGRCAGGCCCAGGTCCCAGAATTGGGAAGAGCAGCCAGAGCTTTGTGCTTGTGAGACCCCCTCAGCCCCTTGTGCCTGACCAACCTGTTCTGTTGGAGGCCACCGACTCGCTCTGGGACACGAGGCGCTGGGGCAGCGGGGCCTCCAGCCCCGGGATCAGGCTCTCCACAGCCACGTCAGCTTTTCCTTTCCACAGGGRCAGAACAGCAGAGGAGAAGCCAGAGGTTAGTTTGCAAGGAAATGCAGAAAGAACTGAGGCAGGAGTTGTCTGAATCCTCTAGTGACCTTTAAGTACCTGTCAGCTCAAGGGGCTGGAGTCCAGTGTGGATTTAATCACAAGGGAAGATTAATTCAGCAGGATTTATTTAGTTTCAGTTTTTATTTTTATTTATTTATTTTAACTTGCACAAGCCCAATTTGAAATAGGCAGAGGATAGAACAGCATGTTATTAACACCAGCCCTGCAGCTGAGCAAGAAGCCTGGGGCTTGGCAAGTGTATCCACAAGATCCTTGTCCAGCAGAAGAAAAACAGAGACCATTGGAATCCTCTAACCATTACGAGCAACTGATCACTAAAATAAGTGCTGTGGAGGCCTTAGAAAGGTCCCAGTTAAGCTGTAAAAAGACAAGATTTTTACGGGATCTTTATGAAAGGGTCCAACAGAATCAGGACTTCAGGCTCTACAGAGAGGTGACAGTTCTGGAATGTGAGGTCTCACTGCAAACCCCAGGCCCCAGGGTCAMCTCAAATCATCTCATCCATCGTGTGGGGACAACAG